GCCATGGCATCACCCTTAGCCGAAGCAACCTTCGCGACAACCTTGGCAGCAGTCGGGGCTGCTGGAGCTGGAGCAGCCTCGCCATCTTTGTTCGCACCTGACTGGCCGGCAGGCGCGCTGGTAGCCGCAAGGGGGTTACGGGGACTCGACTTGGTGGTGTCGGCAACCGTAGCAGAAGCAGGCTTGGCCGACGCCGCGACGGGTGGTCCCTTGGTGGTTTCGGAGTCACCATCATTCGCCGCCTGAGCAGTTGGCACCTCCTTGCCGGTAACGCCTTTCCCACCGCTCGCCTGAGGATGGGTCTGCTCGGCGACCAAAGGCGGGCCAGTCGGAGCAGCTTGGTTGGCGGCAACCCCGTCGGCAGGGCCACCCTCTGCTCCCCCGCTTCCGCCTCCCTTGCTGTGCGACGTCCTTACCACCTTCCACCCCGCCTTCGTCTTCAGCTGGTCGACCACGCTTTTTTGCGCAGGCTTCGACCCGAAACTACCGTCCGCTCCCTTGCTCCGCTTCGAGCTCCCTTTGTCGTCTCCGTCGCCGGTCCTCTTATGGCCCTGCTTCTCGGCCGTTTTTCTTTGCGCGTTATCGGCGTCATTGGCCGAAGGCGACGACCCACGTCGACCAGGCGCCACAGTTCCGATCATCTCTGTCATGATCTTCATCCCGGAAGCAACAAAAGACTGCTGGGTGGCCTCCGTCACCGCCTTCAGGATGTCGGCCTTGAACGACTTCAAAAACTCTTCTGGGATGGCGGGCGGCGTGGGATGAGGCGGTGGCGGCGGCGACACGGCGAGCCTGGCGGTCAAAGCGGTGGCGATGTTGACCTGCGCGGAGGCAAGGTGGTTCGAGATGTACTCTTCCAACCCCTTCTTCGCATCGCCCACCACCGAATCCACGTGTTCGGCCAAGGAGGTGACCGCTAACGCTCGTGCATACGCGACACGACCCTCCGGATTGTCGAAGTCCTCCAACCACTCCGTCGCATGTTCCGCGAAAGTCTTCATCGACTTCCACGCTTCGTCAAAGCTGCCGGAGATGTTGCCCGTGATGGTCTTCGACATGGCCTCCGTCGCGTTTCGCAGCTGTTCCGCGGCATACTTGTCGGTGTCGTCGACCTGCTCGGCCAACCCTTTAACGTGGTCGACGAGTCGACTGACCCCAACAAAAAAACTGTCCAGCCGGGACCGCTCCGCATCGAGCAACGACGCCAGCCGAGCGTTCTCCGCCCGCAACAACCAGTTTTCCCGTCGCAGAACCTCGACGTCGTCCAGTTCTGGGCCCTGCCGACCAGGTGCTTCCCCGGCCTCCTGCTCGCCCGTGTTGTTCGGCCCTTCGCCGGCGTCGACCGACACCTTCCCACCTCCTTCGCAGGCCGCCTCATCCTGGCCATTTCCAGGTGCCTCCACGCCGACCTCGCCCTTCTCCTTCCCCACATCTGCCGACCTCGTAACATTTCCCGCGCCGTCATCCTTCTCTTCCTCATTCCCCTGATCTGCCGACCCCACCGCCTCTTCCGCCGCTCCCGCCTCAACCGTACCCTCTACATACTCCACCACGAACTCCACCTCTTCATCCCCCCCCTCCTCATCCTTCCCTCCCTCCCACTTCTCACCATTCTCGTCCTTATTCTCCTCCTCCTCCTCCTCATACTCCTCGTCCTTACGCTTCACCGCCTCGTCTTCCTCCTCCGACTCCGACTCCGACTCCGACTCCGACTCCGACTTCTCCGTTTCCGACCTTCCTGCACCTGCCTCTGCGTCGCCTCCTCCACCGTTTCCACCTTCCCCATGCACCCTCGCGTTCCCATGATGCTGGGCGGCAACTGCACCTTGGGGCGCCTTCTGTCCTTCCGCGACGTCGTCATCTATGGCATTGTCGGCGGGTCCGGCGGCTTGAGAAGTCGGCGTCGCGGTGCGTTTCACGGCAATGACCTTGCCGACGTACTCAACCATGCTGTCGCGCAAAGCCTTCAGCATCTTCATCCCGATGCTCTCGATGCTCACCCCACGACGACCCTTCTCGCCTGTCAGATGGTCGATCTATTTTGCTACCCACCCGAACGACGTCGCGGAAAGCACGCCGGCACCGACATGCCCGTCCGACACTGTGCCCGGCACTTTCTGCATACAAGCACGGAACATGATGAGCGGAGCGTTCAGAAACGGGCACCCCCCCCCTTGCAACTCACATCGCGGATAGGGTGGTCGCAGTCGGCCAGCCTGACCTCCACCACTGCTTGTGATGGCGGCGCCCAGTCCCACATCCTACCGGGACGCCCCAGCTCGGCCAGGACAGCCGTGCGGAAGAACCTGAAGCACCGCGGTGGGGGGAGGCGGTCAGCGTGTCATACCCTGGGTCGCCGACTAACAAGCGGGTCATCGACGACAATTCAGCACTTACTTTAGCACCCGGGCGGCCTCGTCGCGGTGATACCCTTTACCGGTCTGCGGGTCGATGTGCCGGATTGAGGTCCTGCACACCTGTCCCTCAGCCTTCAACAGATCTCCAGGGTATAGGATGGCAATGACGCTGCAGTGCGTTCCTGGAAGCGCACCGAGGCTGCACATGCAATTCGCGACGACGTCGATCACATCACCACGCGATGTCGCGACACTAAACAACGACAACTGATCAAAGGTGAAACAGCTCACATCGTTCTTAACGGGATAGCGGCGATGTCGGCGTCGAAAACCGCAGCAAAGCATGAATGGTCGGCCAGCCGCATGGCCGATCGAAGCGTGCCGACGTCGAGAACCCACAAACGCTGGTTCTCGATCCCAAGTCGGGACCACGCGAACCTGACGGCACGATTGGGCAAGGAGGTTCATACAAGGGCGGTTGAGCAAACGCCGAAAAGTACAGAGGGCGACTACGTGTGGTCGACGACTCCTAAGGTGGTCGGCGCTCCTGGAGGGGGTCTATGCCTAATACCGCGCCCGTCGACGTAAATCAGAAGGCCACTGCGTGGACACCGAACCTAGTTAAGTAGGCGCCGACTACTCGAGTCGTACCTGATGCCGAAATCCAAACATCCGTCGTTGAACTCTATCTTGTGGTTGCGAAGAACTAAGAAGTCTTCCCACTCTAAAGTGAAGCTGAGACCAGGACCCATTTGGTGACGAAGAGGGAAGTCAGCCGAAGTCGGCGCCGAGTTATCGGGGTCAGGGCTAGGGTCCATACCGACTAAGGGGAAGCGATATCACGATAGCCGCACAGAGCAACGAAAGGAGGAAAAAAGGAAGAGGAGGAGCGAAACGAGATGCGGAAAATGGGGAGCGAGGCCACCATCCACAAAGAAAAGGAGACGGTGGCCCACCGCATCCCCGTTCAGCGTCGCCCAAGGGTGTGGGGCCTGGCTCGGCAGGGCTCTGAGGGCGCATGCGCAAGTGGAACAGGTGGTCCGACTCCGCTTCGGCAGGGCGTCGACCTCGCGTCCAATGTCCCAGGTCGGCGAGGGGACGCAATATCGCGTGCGCGATGAGCGTGCATTCGCACAACACGTGTCGATTTCGTAGTGGGTAACGAACCTCGTTGTCCGCGTCGCGGCCTTTTTTTTTTTCGCTCGCAACGACAAAATATCGCATGCGCCCGATGCGAACCCACGAGCGAACACGTGGCGTCGCCGCAACGGGTCGCGAAATTGTCGAGCGTCCCGAGGGGGCCTCGACATTTCGCCCGGCCCTCGCCTGCCCGTCCGGGCAGGCCGCGATGGGTTACTAGGACCTCGCGGGCAGGTGGCGCGCGTGGGCTGCCTTCGCGCGAGGGTAATTTTCCCACGCGCGAGGTGTCGCCAGTTCGCCGACCCCACCCGGTAACGTGGGCCGCTGTTCACGTTCGGGGCGGGGCTGCGGGGCGGCGGTCGTGCGCTCGGCCCAGCCCTGGGCCAGGCTGGCGGGCCCGCACGCGCGTCAGTGCTCCGCCCCGTCGGCCCAGGCTTCGACGACCCCCCTCGACGACACTGGCAATTCGGGTCCGTCGACCGAATTCCGCTGGGATGTTCGGAAATGGAAGAACGGCAATGGCCCACGCCTGTTGTTCCAGCGGGCAGAAGAAGTCGCCGGTTGTGCTGTACCCTCTGTTTTGCATTATGATTGTGACTTGCAGTGTACAAAGTCGCAGGTCGCAACAGGTCGTTTGTCGCAGCTCTCAACTTGCAGAGTTTCGCAGCATATCTAGTAGCTGCATCGACGAGGTGCGAGCCAGGCACATCATCATGCAGCCTGCATGCCATCACGCGAAATTTGAGCTGAGCTTGCAGCTCGCATCATCTTCGCATCTTGCATATCGCAGCTCGCCGCGGCGGCATTTTCCCAACTCGCAGAATCTTATTCCGCATCTAGCATCATCTAGCAACTCGCGGTTTCAAACTGATCTGCGGTGGCATCAAGTCATTGTCTATCCTCCCTCCCCACGACAGAACCCTCCATTGTTAGTTGGTTCCGACATCGCGAAAAAGGGTTTGGCCAATTTTCGAGTTAAAGTCTCAGAGTTGCAGGAAAGTTGCACAAAAGCTGCAGAAAAGTATCCGAAAAACAACAACCCGAAATTGCATCTTACCCAAAATGCCACTAAGTCCCGCACACTGAGAAAGGCAGCCGGATGCCAGGCGGTTTGCGCTTCGGAACGTCCAAATTCCAGAGCGGCTCGGGAAATCTCGCACATTGGCAGACGCGGTTCGTCGAAAAAGCACACCTTGGCACCGCATACAAGGAACACTCGCTTGTGTTTTGCGTTATGTGTTTGTACACTGCCGCGAGAACGATCCCCTTAGGGTTTGCAGCCTATCCCCAAACTACTAAACGCTAACCGAGAAAGCAACACACGTCATACAGAAGTGCATTCTTTATTGAGTAGCAAACACATGGAAATAATATCGCCCAATTCACAGCTCATGCAATCTGTACACACACATTAGCTGAAACTTTGTGACGCCACCGTCGCATAGTGCTCCCTATGTTCAGCCCCCCCATACCACAATGATAAAGCATAGCCACCCTATAGCCCTAGACCAAGCGTACGACGCTCTCTTTGTCATCCTCCACTCGGAACAGCACCCCCGCCTTCCGGGATTGGCCTGCCTCATCCGACGCGTCAGACGTGATCCCCTCATCACTAGAGCGGCCCGTCCGGTTGCGCTTAGTGGGCGTGCGTCGAAGGCGGCTCACCACCTCCTCATTCACCACTCCGGCCTCCTCTGGCACGTCGCGCGGTGGAATACCCAACGCCTCCGCCTGCTTCACGAAACCATCATGGACCATGCGGCTCACGCGGCGATAGCTACGGCTGTCTCGCATTAGCGGCCCCTCCGGAATGCAAAAATATGCCGGAATCTCATCCTCGGACTCGTCCTCCAAACCCCTCGCTGGTGCCCACTTATCAATAAGGCCTTCGTCACACCCCACAAAATCCCACGCCGTCATAAACGCCGTGCTGCTGCACTTGCCTTTGAGCTCTTCAATCACCAGCTGCAGACTCGTCAACTGCACCACCAGACCGTCAAACATCCCTGCCGCAGCTTTCCCTTTCAAGCTGCCCATCCGCGACAGCCAGCCCTTCGGCACGCTACCGGCCCGCCACCAACTCCTCTGGATTGTCCCCGGCATCGTCAACTTGCACGCCATGAACAGCTTGTACAGGACTTCGTGCAGCGGCGGCCGTGGAAAAATGCCCGCACGGGTCCACTCTGTGCTCGTGACTGCCGTTCGCCGAAACCACGTCCGGAAAACTGCCTTCAATGTGTCCACAACACCATTTATCGCAGAAAACGCAGCAGCCGGCATCACGCCAAATGTCTGCACAACCTTCACCCGTGTCAACTCCTTCACGACAAACCCCTCCACCGTGCTTGTCCGTTTCACACACCCGGTGAGGGTGTGCGAAGGGTTGTGCACAAGCACCACCGCCTTCTCGTTCTTCGCATGCAACTCCCCGTTTAACTCGTCGACGAACTCAGTGAACAACTGCGCACGCAACACGGCGGATGTCCGTGGTGACGACATGAGTACAGAACGACGGCCACCAAAATTGCACCTCATAAACAACGACGATCAACCTACAAACCCCAGCTTTGAGCCCGCTCACCTCGCTAGAAAAGCACCCATTCTTGGCGTAGCGCACTTTCACGTCATGATTCTTCTTGCGCCCCTCATGTACTGGCCTCTTGTCGTCCCGTCGTAGAACAACGATCGGCGGTTTGCGGACACATCCTGTCGCGTTGTACACAAAGCATACGGGCATGTGCCATTCCCGCGACAGCTGCTCACGCTCGTCCACAGACGTGCCTAACGGCACCTGTGTGGGGATTAACGGAAACTCCGTGAAAGTGAACACCTTTTCGGGCGGTGCATTCAATGCCTCAAGGAGGGATACCAGGGACGCCATTTCTTCAAAAACGTATGCTGCAACGCTGGGTGACACACAATCTCGGCAAGTGCATGGGTTTCTTTGTGCTTCGCGGTTCTTGCTGTATTCACTACTGAGGCCACACTTGTGCCACATCAGCATACCATTGGAACCCCGTACCCAGAAAGCAATCACACTTGGTACACCCCCCCATAGTGTCCACCAATGATACGAACCTGCGCACCAATGGTTGTGCGTCTTTCTGATTACACCCACGCCCCAACCGTGACTCCGTCCCTCGCCGGAACGCGGGCGTGCCACGTACCTGTAACTTGCAACACCAAACCGCGCCCCCCAGGGGGGTTTGCAGTTTCACTCAGTGCGCAATACAGTATACCCCATCGTCTCGCATAAGTTAAGTACACTCACCATTCAAAGAAACTAGAGTGTTCAAATAACAGCTACAAAGATCGCATAAGCACGTAGACACCACGTCACTACAGTTGCGGTCATGGCGCTCTATGTGTCGGTCTCTACATCGCCCAAGTGACAACCCGTCTTTCATCATGCGACTAGGGCGTGTAAGTCTACAGTTTGAGTAGCCAGCTGTGAAAATAACTGCAGCATATGCACACCACGATCCTCAAACGCCTCCTCACACCCCCACCTCAAAATCACTCACACAGAAGAAACTTGTTCAGCAGCAACACTGCAGGGTTGCTGAAAGAGCGGCAAATGTGCACAACTCGCAGAATGCTCTCCACCTCAATCACTGCGTGCCTTGTGTCCTTGCGTGACGGTGTCAACTCCACGCAGGTGGTGAGGGGGCATATGCCTGCCCTCTCATACCACCGCACGTACACAAACCCCTTCCGGTCGCCACTGTCGTCGCTACCTTTAAAATACACAGCGCCTTCGCATACCACTCCTCCTTCTTGCCTGACTTCACTGCAAAGTCAGTGAGCCACTTCTCCTTGGGGCTTGCCTTGATGAACGCCCCCTTGGGGACCAGTGCTCCGCCTTTGTTGCGCGGAATCGCCACCGCGGTGTGGGCCTGCATGAGTGGGGCATTGGGATAAGGAGCAAGATCGGGTGTATACTCAATACGCACACTTACGGAGCCTAAGCACTCAACAACGGCAACCTTGGTGGAGGATACACTTGCACATGTGTACGCACCACGACCTCAGATGCGGTGATCTTGGCAGCCACCATGCTGCCTGGTAGCGCATCCATGAGGTCGCCAAGTGCCGTACGGTAGGTACCCATCACCGCATCTCCCTCCTCCGCCGGCCGCATTGTGAGTCCCTTCCTTGTGAGCACGGGCTTCATCGTCTCAACAGCCTGCGGGTGTGGAAGGCAATGGGTATGTCGCGATCGTGTCCGCAGACAAGTCACGCGGTATTCACGTGTCCAACGATCATACGGTCATGCAAGGGATATGCTACGCACAGTCTCACCTCGCGCAGCGCCATCGCATACTCACGCCCGCCACCCGCGTCCTGTGCCACCTCCCTGCAGATCTCTCTCTGCACCTCCTCCTCCACGATGCGTCGGGGGATGTCCTTCCAGTTGCTGCCCCTGACCGGGATCTTGACCGTCCCCTTGTGGGTATGCTCCCACATCTCCGTGCTGTAGTGGTGCGGCATTCCGCGCATGATCACATTGTCCACCATGTGGACAATCATGTGAATCTTTGGAAAGCGCCAATGCGATGCATGATCCGGATACGCTTGCGGCAAAATCTCGACCAGCCTGTGGATCATGCCACGTCCCGTCGGAAAAAAGAACACGCAAATCAAAGATGCGGTCAGTGACACTTGGTGTCTCTCCTTTGGTTGTCTTCTTGCGCCTAGAGGGGTGGAGGGCCCAGGAAGGGGTGCTCTCAGGGATTAACATTGGACCTCCTTATGTAACCCTAAACACATGCATTCACTTCACATCGTGCTCACGTCATTCTGCTCTATGTTCCGCCCATATCCCAGGTTTACAATACGACTAACCTCTTGACTTCTTGCCTCTCTGGCTTGGAAAGAACAGCGATGTGGTTCTCCAGCAAGTGTAGCGCCATCCCAGAGTCCAGCACGTGCATGATGTCCGCGACAGTAGCACCAAATGGGTTGCCCCACTCAGTGTCCGAGAAATTCCACCGCGATAACACACACTGTAGGGTGGTGCAAGTAGGATGAGAGGGGTTCACGTCATACGGTACGATGGCGGGCTTATCATTAGATCGCCACCATCAATGCGTACTGCACACACATACCTCCACTGGATGGGTTGACCACTTGGACTGAATCGCTTCAGCATCTTTCACAGTCTTGCACGCAAGCATGTTGCGCAACACATGCATCTCGGAGTCTACGGTCCTCGGCGTGGCCTTATGCTCCAAGTCTCCAAGGAGGTCTTCCGATACATAGCATGTGCAACAGGGCCTCTTGGTGCCTGTTTGCATCGTCGCGGTGACGCGACACTGTTCAATGAAGTCGCCAGGGTAACCAAAGAAGCATGGGACGGCCTTCACAGGCTCCCCCTGTGGATCGGTGACATAGAACACCCTTAATGGAGCGCTGGGCCGAGAGGGACGTAAAAGAAGGAAACAGGTGGACAGGATATTGTTTGACCAAAAGGCTGGCGGCGGAACTACGATGCGCAGCACATGCAGCAAAATCCGGAGTAAACGCATACCTTGAAGACTCTCGCATGAGGGGCCCGAGAATGATCCGAATTGCCTCCTGAAACACTCTTGCTTTCTTGGTAGAAGTTGCCCACTCGGGGGGGAACGGCAGCACAGCAGCCAGAACATGGCCAGGTTCCGTCTTGCGCAACTCCTCAGGTATGTTGAACAGCGTTATGAGGACGGGCCACGCCTGCCTGCGCCCATTGCGTGTTGCGTTGGTGCTGTCGCTGTAGACAATGACGCCAATCACCCAGGCTGGTGGGCCGTTCACCTCCTTCTGCCACATACAAACTCGTGCTCTTGAGTACGTCTGCCAAAACGTCAGCGCAGCGGGGCATGTCCTCTGGAGAATCATCGCGTACCTGAGCCTCTTCCAGCCATTTTGCCATCTCAGGGCCGAAGTAAATCCGCTCGTTTGTGTTGGGGTCAACAACAATCCGTGGCTTTGTAACGAACCCCTTGACGCCGCCAAAGATGCGCACGAGCTTCTTCACGAGCTGCGTAGGAGTCAAAGCTTGCTGTGGGTGCGTGTACCATCAACATCAGTATGCAGCACCCCCTCAGGACGCATATTACACTCATAACTTATTGCACGTACCTCCTCCGTGTTCCGATAATGTAGGGGGAGCTTCTGTGTTTGACCGCGAGGCCCTCTGACCACTATCTCCTCGCACAGCCACGGTATCATGTCTGGCGGCGCCCTGGCATTCCCCCATCGCCTCACGTCAAGCCAATTGCGCCAGCGACGCAATGCACGCTGGTTGAATCGCGGATTTTAGAAGATATGCAGCAGTCAGTTGACCTCGCGCCGCGAGAGGTCCGCGTCCCTAATGAACAGATATATTGCGGTGAGAGTGTCAAAGATCTCCCCGTCCGAACTCTGCTCACTACAGGTAGAATGGTCGTCATCATCACTAGCTTCTACCTCGGCGGCTGTAGGAGCTGCTGGTCTCTTCTCCGCCGTCCTCTCGCTGGTGCCAGCGCTGGCGGCAGTGGCGGCGGCTGTACGGGCAGGGATGCGGAAAAAACGCCTGACGGGCCTCCAGATATGCCTCTGCGAGGAGGACTCTACCACGACCGAGAATCGCCTCCCTGCATGCCGCGCTTCTAGCCAAGTGCGACTGCAGCCTGTTGTCGTCACGAAACGTTTTTCTGCACCCCCCGCACACGTTGCCACCCATGATACCACCGCAAACCCTAACTTTGGGTCATCGGAGTTAGTATACCTTTGCGCGAAAGAAATCCGCACTCACTGTGTGCACGTTATAAACGCTTGACCTGTTTGTATACAGGTCATGCTGTCTAACATATGCGAGTCATTTGTTGAAATCATCGAGTACACCACTCGGCTAGGTCGGCTATGGTTATCGGATCCCATGCGGGACAATGACTCTCGCTAGGAATCACGTAAGCCTAGAACACGCACAAAATGCAATGTGCGTACATCGTATTCGTTCATAATGAATACGCGAAGTGCATGCCATGACATGATGTGCATGTCACGGTGACGCGACAAATGGCATGCACTTACGAGTTCGCGCCACAAGTACTTCAGATCCACACATCGTCATCAACGCCCCCTCTCACCCTCGATGTCCTGCCAAAACGTCCCCTCTAAAGTGTGAGGTTGAATCAACCTTCTTTTCATAGGACGGACACTCCAGCATACTCCCTCATTACCTTTGCGCAGTTTTCCTTGAGCTTGACCGACGATCGTAGACATATCTCCTCTTAGGCGCGCCCGCGACAAGCAGTGTGCTTCCAAGGGCAGGTCCACGCGCGGTGCTAAGGAGGGCAACGCAGGGGGCGACGGAGACGTGACGGATGTCAGTGCTATTGCGCGCTCCCTCCATAGCAAAAGGAGGCAATCGACCAACGGCAACACAGCTCTTAAAGAAGGCATCGGCTCGGCCGGCAGCAAACTCCTAGCCCAGCAGTACCAGACGAAGCTGGAGACGGAGACGGAACTTCCCGAGCCGCACGATCTGGTCTATCGCTTACTGACTGCCAAGCAACCACAACAGATGGAGCAAATGATGCTGTTCAATGCGGATGGCGTTGGTTGTGTCGTGGAGGCGTCACACATCATAACCATCGCTGACGGGAAGTGTGTCACCGACGCGATCGTGGACTTCCACAACGTGTGAGCAATTTCATCGGTTTTTTTAAGGCGATGTGTCATGGCCTGCCTTGTGTCCATGATTGTCACCCGTTCCCTGACTGGACAATCGCCTGACTGCGCGCAGACTGCTGAGCATCCGTCAACCCACTACGCCCAGCGGCACTTCTTGGGCCGCGGTCGACAGCAAGGCTTTCGACTACGTGAACACTTTCGGCAAGCCATACTCTATGGGCAACGGGTCCAGAGTTTTTGACGTTGACTTCTTGGCCATTCCCGTCTTCAAGAGGTGTGTGCTGTTGATTGAACGCTTTGGTTTTCATTCATGGTGGCACGAGTCGCTGCAATAATATGACGCGCGTGCCTGTTTTATGCGATATGTTGCAGCTCACACTTCTCGCTTATGATAGTTCCGTGCCCTAAGCGACTGCTGGGAGGAACGTCTGAGGAAGTGACTGGACCTCTGGAACTGATTCTTCTCGACAGTTATGGCACGCACCGTGACGACCCTACGGTGTTTGATGGCGTCAAATGGTAAGCTGCTGCATGTTTTTGTGGCCGTGTTAGTGAATTCAACAATACACTACGAGAATGTCCGACCAAATGTCCGGATTTCTTGTGTTCCAAATTATTGGAACTAACCGCCAAGGCCCTACACCCTCAGTGTGATGCAACGACTCTTGTGAACACACTGAGAGATGCGAAGCCGCTTCCCATGAAGGTGGGTCCTGCTCCCCAAACTGAGATGTGTTGACACACTATGTCAGCGTGTGGCAACGGCATGTTGTGGCCTCTAACGTGCGTGCAGAAACATAAGGTGCAGCAGCAGGACAACAAACACGACTGTGGCATTTTTGTATGCCACTATATGAAAGTCCTTGTGGATACTGATTTCAAGAATTTGCGCTCATACCTGTACCTGGAGGGCATCAGTGTGACGGAGTTCCGGCGCGGCATGCGGGCCGACCTATGCATGCATGCGGCTTCTGACCTTATACCGGCGCTGGTGAAGATGAATGTGGTCGTACCTAATCAACCCGCGGCTAGGGTCACTAAGCATGGAACCGTCGTGGATTCTGGAGCGGAGGATCACAACACAAAGCTGACACGGATGCAGGTGGAGCACTACGGCATAAAGAGGGATCTTGCGATCTGGAAAGCAGCAGTCACCGCCGTCGGAGCGGCGATGGGTTACAGTGTCGATCAGCTCCTTGCAGGAGCTACATACGTCTTGCAGGCGCAAGGTTCTGAAGGGGGCGCGGCGACACCTGGGGGCAGCCGGTCCACTGCACCCTCCACCCCCAACCCCCGTGCAGCAGCGCGGCCTTGCACTACCGACAGCCCCGGTTCCAAAGGAGGATCTGCTGAGAGCGTAGCACTGGACGGTGCAGGCAGTGGCACAGTCGAGCTAGGGGGGGTTCATCCCAGCCCCTGCGCACTACCCGTGCCTGCCGCTCCGAGGTGGTCGATAAATGGCACAGAGGGAAGTATGCACGTCACGCACCAGGCAGAGCCGGCGGTGGCTCATGCATGTGGAGCAAGGCCCGTGGTGCTGGCTATGCCGGCAAAGAGGAAGGGCTCATGCATGTGGAGCAAGGTCCGTGGTGCTGGCTATGCCGGCAACGAGAAGACCCGCATGCGTCGGGGGCGGATGCTGAGGGTGGCGCTACTGCTTGCAAGAGCAAGGGTAAGGGATAGGGTTGTAGTTCACAGTACAAGGGTGTGCGCAGGGAGAAGCGCGGTAGGTGGAGCGCCAAGATTCTGTTCCGAGAGAAGAATAAGAAGAAGCGGACGCAGATGAGGCTGGGTGCGTACAATAAGGAGCTGGAGGCTGCCATGGCGTACGCAGCAGCGGTGCACGTGGTCAAAGATGGTAAGCGCGTGCCAGGCACAGTGGAGCTGACGGATGAGGAGAAGGGTATGCTGGAGGGGTGCACGTTGGCAGTTGTCAAGCGGCTGGTTAGGAGCCGTCAGTGGTTCCGATGGCAGGAGTGGGAGACGGCACTAGTGGACTGCACGGAGGAGGAGACAGCAGGGGACGGCGATGAGCACTCCGACTCGCAAGACGATGACGCGGGGGATGCAGCCGGATGTGCCGTGGAGGAAGGAGATGAGGTGATTGAGCTGGATGGGGAAGGGTTGGGCGACGCAGAGGGATCGGCCGGGCGGGGCACACCTCATGAACTCAATGAGGACGCTGCAGCAGCGATGGGCGGTGTGGCGGACGAGGGTATTAGGACGGGGTTGGCTCTGGGAGATGCATTTGAGGGGGCGTTGTTCGACGAAGACCCAGAGGCGGTGAAGATGGAGTGATTGTGGAGTGAAGTTGTTTGCCTGTTTGTAGCCGGAGTAGGTGATACCTAATTTGTGTCAATTCATGAAATAGTAGATTAGGTGATACCTACTTTGTAGCTATGCATGATATAGTCTATTTGGGCGTTGGGTTCATGTAGATTGTGTAACGAATACAAACAGCTCCGCGCTTGTGTGACAGCCATATTTGCAAAGGCAGTTGAGTGGGTGATGTGGATGGGTAGGATCGCGAGGGATACAATGAGTGGCTCACGCGTGTCTTGAGATCGGTGATGCAACAGTATACCGTCTACGATTGGCTGACGAGATTGCGGCCTGCGCACGCCCTTTGGCGATTGAGACGTTACATCCTGTGCGCATACCTGCAACTGAGAGGGCTTGCAGCCGGAATGCGCATACTTTCACTACATGGTGTGCGGTAGCAGAAGTTGTTTAGGTTTGACTTTCGGGAATGGAGACTTCTTTGGGGACGTTGGAGGAATTGCCCGCAGGCCGGTCGCATAGGCCCAAACGACCGCCTGAGTATCTGCGAAAGGAGTATCAGTTGACCGGTAAACGAACACGTAGTCAAATGTGTGCGGGGCAACGCGGGGCAGTACAAGCGGCCTAGGGTTGAAAAGCAGAAGTGTGTCCCAGTAGAAGGTACAACGCGTGGGGATTCAGTTGCGTCACGTTGCTTTTGCCGCCATGCTTTTGGCGCATGTTCACCATTACGGAGTTTCCATGTTCTCTGATGTGACTCGCATGCGTTGCTTGAACATTGCGCTCAGGTGTGGCTAGTGCGGCCCATGGTGCATCGCAAGTCTCGCCGAATGCGGCGGTCGCGTCTAGCGTCGGTGCGGGCGATGACGATGTGGGTAGCGATGGCGAAGGGGAGGCTGCGCCTGTCCGATCCAAGGCTGTTGCCTCCATTATGGCCGAAGAGCCTAGCGCAGCAAAAGGAAAGGCTGCGGCGTCTCCGCTTAAACCGGTGGCTGACAACCCCTTTGAGGCAATGCCCTGCGCATCTGCGCAGCCGGCAAGTGGATCTCGTCGGGATGAGACGGTTGCCGATGACGCCGTCGTGATTAGCCGCGCCGAGCTCGAGGTGCTGAAGACGGCGAGAGACGAGGGCGAGCGTCGGATTGCGCGGCTGGAGGCGCTGCTGCTGGCCATAAACGAGAGGGAAACGCAGAACAAGAGGCCAAGGGGTTCGAGGGAGGAACGGGCGCAGGGAGATGCGCGGCCGCGCAAGCGCAGGCGGGTCGAATCGGGCTCGGAGGACGCGACATCGGAGGAGGGAGAGGAAGAAGATGCGGAGGCGGAGCCAGTGAGGGCACGCCGTGTGGTCCGGCGGCGCCACATGACAGTGTCGAGCTCACCCATACTTCAGGAGGCATTTGATTTCCTGCCGTCCGGCAAAGCATGGAAGGTGAGCGCCCTAGGACATGGGGACACATACTCAAAAATATGCATTGCGTGTGGTCTAATGTCTGCCGCGCTGCTGTTTGTGCGTTCTTGTACTGTGGGAAACCTTGGTGTGTGCTGTGTCGTGGACATGGCAGAGAACGTGCGACCATCTGCGGGAGTTCCTGTTCATCGACCGGGCCAATGATGTCATGACCTTTTACCCAAGCAGCCACGACAAGACGCTCGGATTATGCTGGATCACACCACGATTGACGTTGAATTATGCCGGGCTCGCACTGGCGGCCGACAAGGCGCGATGCGCTGACCTGAACAAGGCACTCAGCCAGTGGAAGACAGAGGTGACGGGCCGCGTTCGAGACATTGCGCTGTCGCGCATTGGCCTATGGCGCAACGAGCGGGACAGGAAAAGCCCGTGGGCACGCAAGAAGCGCAGAGAGGCGGCCGAAGTCCGACTTCGGTATCGCGTGCTGGACGACGTGAACGGTATGCGGCGGGGTGTCAACATCCAGGGTTCCTGTGTGTAGCTCAGCTGACGGTGTGTTACGTTGTACATGTGTGTGGGCAGAAGATCTGACGTTGTCAACCTGGAGCGAGAGCAGGACTGGAATGATCTTTGCGTCGGGAGCGTTCACGGCGTGTGCCGTGACCGCCTTCCAGCCCAAGAAGGTCACAGGAGCGGTGACCGTGAAACTGTACCAGATGGCGTGGCTCGAGCATGTGGTGAGTTGCATCTCAATCCCCGTTCAACCCACCCGTGCGCGGGAGTGATGTGTGTGTGCGATATGTTTGTTGTTTCACGCAGGTTACCGACACGGTTCTTAACTGGGACAAGCGCAAGGCCCGCCTATCAAACTCTGCTGGTGGCAATGCGGAGGTGGTGAACGGCCTCCACCAGGTCGCCGAGGGGGCAGTGGCGCACGCGATCCAAGACTTCAAGCCCAAGTACGATGCTGATGCCCAGGCGTGGGTATGGGGGGAGCGCGGGCTGATGCTGTCCTCGTGCGGGCTAGAGCACTTGATTCCAGGCCGTTACGCGCAGAGGGCGCCAATCGTGGAAGACGGTGGTTCGGTTTCTCTGGGCACTGACTGAAGTTGGTAGTGAGGCGTCCCTAAACCCTGTACATGGACACGGGCTTCCACTCTTTGTATTTCATGCATGTTAGAAGGATATACGTTTGTGGGGTTAGCGTTCGACGAGATGGGGATGTAGTAAGACGGCGTCAAGCGGTAGTGTGTGGACGTAATTGGCGACGGTGTGTTGTGTAGCAACCCGGGTGTGATGTGTGCGATGTTGTGGTGTGTTGCGAGATTGAATAAATCACTTGTAAGCGCGCATACTTGCGTGGCGTAACGTGGTGTGCTTTACGCGCGCAAGCAGTGCGCAAAGCTCGCAATAACGCGTACAATTCGGCAGTAAATGGATACCTTACCGTGTCGCGATCGGGTGGTGGTACGACGGCGCGCAGCGGTGGGATCGACGGTTGGTATTCACGCCGCGAATACCGCCGTCTAGTTGAGATGAAGCCAGGATGCATGCGTGACGCGTGTGTGCAAAGTGGCACATTGGGTGTACGAGGCGTGGGTAACTTTGCGGCGAAGTATCCGACAGTGTTCGGAGTGCGCGCTGATTGGGTGGCGTGTGAGGAGTGTGTGGAAAACAGTGGGGTTGCGATGGAGCGAAATACGCGGGCGACGGCGGTTGGAGCCAATCCCGGCATCCAGTGATGTCACTGCGTTACGCTCTACCGCGGCTTGATTGGGCGTGGAGGTGGTGTGCGGAACATGCGGCCCAACAGTGTGCTCCATGACGCGCGCGGTAGTGTTCGATGTCGTGCTGGGATTGGGCGTTGTCAGGTTCGCGAATGCGAGCTAGTGGTGCATGAAGGTGTCCGCGTATGCAATAAAGTGGTGGACGAAGCGGGGTTACCATGCCGTGTGCCAGTAGATAGCACACACGTGCTGGAGACTGGTTGGTGTACGTTTCATGGCCTACAGCGTACGGGATCAGATCCGAGTACGGTTCTCGTTGCCACGGTGGCGCCGTGTTGTAACTGATCGATGGCAACATGTAGGTGATCTTTCGGCAACATGCACGCAACTGCACGGCAGGGTGTTAGTGACTTGAAGTTGGGCGGAATGTTGCGGAATGGTGGCTGCTGGTTTGCAGGATTGTTGCAAGAGAGTTGCGGAAAAGTTGCGGAAGGGCAACTTTTTTGCAAGAATTTCGCAATCCGCATTTCTGCAACATTTGACCATAACTGGAAAGTTGCAAAACCAAGGTATCCAAAAAGTATCCTTTTTGCAACATTCCCACAGCTTTATGGCAAGCCCTTTTTCGCGATGGACCAGCGGAACCAGCCAGCTGGTGGTGCGATTTTTGCGGCTGCATGATAAAGTGGCGCGACCCCTTCCCGACAGAATCGTGCCTTCCATCATCTCCGTCGAACTTCTTTCGGCTCGAATTGACGACACGATCGCGATCGCGATCATGCAACGGGGACTAACTCCGCCGCTACTAAGGGCGGCGAGCAATTGTCAACGCCGCGAGAAGCAGCGGCGAGAGAGGTTGCGGCGATACTGATATTCCGCATGCATCTGTGGTGGTTGACATGTGGGTTGAGAGGGTGGGTTTGAAATGGAGGAAACCTTCGTCTAGAAGGCTGGTTTGGGAATCGGGCTTAGTTGGGTGGGGTGGAATTGGGTTGGGTTTGGAGCGTAACTATAACGCCGAGTGGCTGGCAGCGAATTGCGGGCGGGCGATGAGCTGGCGGGCGGGGGGAGGTTTGGTTCGGTTTTGTTTGGTGAAATCGATGGAACCAAAACGGACATTTGAAACGATTAGCGAAGCGCGCATTCCAGAAGTGCGCTTCGGATAATCAACCCCCACGGACGACAAATCTGCCGCACATTCCACCAACACTGCTCCCTGATTTGTGCGACATGCGTTGACATTGTAGGGGGGCTTCCTGGAAAGTGTATTTCACCAGATGTATACAGTACATCTTCTTTTGCAAATTGCTTCTTGATTACAACTAAACATTTGAAAATAGTTACAAGTATGTTTTTCGCATATGCATGTTCATGAAGTGTTTTTTTTTTTTTGTCTGCATGTGCATTTCATTACACGCGTGTGTGTGAATGGGGGGGAGGGGGGATATATGTGTGTGTGTGTGTGTGTGTGTGTGTGTGTGTGTGTGTGTTTTTATTGTTGGAAACAAGTAACTTAACGCTTCTGATGTGTCGGAACATTGAACTGTAAACGAAGCAAATAACAACGAAGCAACGGCGAGTCAACCGAGGATGTAGACAAAACGTAACTGCTGGAGGTTACGCGAAGGTCAAATGTCAGCGACCCTTGACTCGACAAATACAGCGCGACAGCAAGGACAAAGAAGTGACTCGACATTGAGCAGTTGCTAGAGTCGTCACTGTATCGAACCGCAACAGCAATAGTAAAAGTGGCTATTGCATCTTTTCATATTCCTTGTAATCTTATAAAAAGCTAGTATTCCTTAGCTATAATCAATCTATCAAGCCCTCACATACTAGCGCAAGGAGGTTCAACACCTTGTCATTGAAACGCTTCCGCAATACAACATTCCTATCAAGAGCTTTAGCCTTGAAAGATCCTAAGGGCTTTTCTCAGCCCAGCATGGTATGAGAGCAGACAAGGCAAAACTCCACTTCGTTTAAACTCCTACAACATTAGAACACATGGCAACACAGAATGTGAGAAGCTCCTCTAACGGCTCTCTCGGCACTACTCCTACTCCACCTCCAGCCTCTGGTCTACAGACAGAGGGAGGCACAGCAACAAGACCGGCTGCTGAGTCTATTGAAACTCCTGCGAACCGGGCAACAAGCTTCGACCCAAACATGATGGAGAAATTCTTCTCCTTCATGTCCTTCTACGAACAACACCAGCAAGCAGCACCTGCGCAGTTAAACAACAGCGACAACAACAATGGTGGCACACCTACGAGCCTTGATGGCTCATCCTATGCGCGCGGAAATCAGCAGCAACCCATTTTTGCTCCGTACGAGCCTCAACGCGGCTCCATCAGCTTCATGCCGCATCAGCAGCCTTCACCTGGACAAGAGAAGACACTGGACGCGCTTCAAGTACAATCGCAGTTCGCGCACGTTCTAAAACTACAAGCATCAAGACCATTCGGACGAGAACGGACGAGATCATTAGCAACAATCCAGACAACACCAGCAGCAACAGAGACAACACCAGCAGCAGTTGAGACAACACCGGCAGAAACAGAGACAACACCGGCAGCAGCAGAGGCAACATCGGCAGCAACAGAGACAACATCGGCAGCAGTATAGACACGACACGCGCCAATCGCTGGTCCGTCAACAGCACCAGCCTTCATCGACGACACGCCACCGATTCCTGCGCAACAACTGACTCCCACTCCACGGGAAGTCTACACAAGCGCAAACCTCACCGCAGGTTTGTATTCCAACTCCGACCTATAAAGACGTTCACCCGGACATCGCGGTAGCGAAGACATGTGGCATGCAAGGATGGGACACGCGAGCAACACAACGTCAAACAACACGATAAGAGCAGGTGTTCTTGATAAATACTCACTACTTCTACACGACGGCAGAGAACTTCAACCATTCCGCGGAACGTGTTTTACCTGCCCCGAAGCCGACTTACCGCATCAGCCGTTCGCCTCTCACCACAACCCAAGCGTACCAGCATGCGCACCACTGGAGAAAGTGTACAGCGACATACTGTACAATCGTGTCGCCTGGCTTCCAATAGCAAAACGAGAATCAGGAGTGAAGTTGAAAAGCTTCTAGACAGACGGGGGAGGGGAATATCAGTCACAGAGGTTCAAGGACTACCTGGCAGAAAGAGGCATCAAACGGCTCATCTCCCTTCCCTACGCCCATCAACGGCAAGGAGTGGCAGAAAGAATGAACAGGACCCTTCAGAACACCATGCGCATGCTGCTACGTGGCATGCGACTACCCAACCACCAGTGGCCCGAAGCAATGGACCATGCCGTAATGCTGCACAACTTGCTTTCGTTATCATCACTCCTGAACAACGCATCACCGCATCTGCTATGGACAGGAAAATTGGGCAGCACAAAAATGTTGCGAGTGTTCGGCTGCATGGTACAGTACCGACCCCCAACTGCACGAGCCGGCCGATTCTCTCAACGTGCACAGTGGGGAGTACACCTGGGCATCGAAAAGCAGCAGCCTCACTAGTACCTAGAGCGGCAGTCTCAATGCCCGGGTCGGGCGGAAAGCACTGGTAACAGTCACCCTCATCACTAATAGTCACAGCATACATGGCAGCAAGAATAGCATCAAAGTCAAGGTCAAAGACAGCTACTCCCGCCCTAGACAGCTCACCCCAGCGGAGGATCTCCGTGGCCTCCGGGAACTGGTGACGCCAAGCGTCCGTCAGGCGGCCAAAGTAGCGCTGGGTGGAGTGCGCACCCTCGCACTGCTCACCCGCGCGGTCGCCGGTGCGTAGGACGTAGGTGCACGGACCACTACCCCCACCCCGCTGGCGTGCAGTGTACCACTCACGGAGCTGCTGAGGGGAGGGGATGTCACGAGTGCGCTGCTGCTGCTGCTGGCGCTGACCTCCACCGGAGCCGACCCTCTGCGCAGCGCCACCCCGACCAGCTCCACCTCCTCCGCCACCGCCTCCTCCACCGCCGCCACCTCCGCCACCACCTCCGCTCCCATCGCCACCGCCGCCTCCTCCGCCTCCACTGACGCCACCGACACCTCCACCCCCGCCACCACCCCCACCGCCACCCCCACTCCCTCCGCCGCCTCCACTGCCGCCTCCACCGCCCCAGCTAGCTCCTCCAGCGCCCCTGCCCCCCTTGCCCTTGCCAGGGCGGCGTCTTCCGCTAGGGGTAGACGCCGCACCGACCGACTCAAGCCCAACGAGGTCGGCAGCAGCAGCAAAGGCAACAGAGGGCAAAAGGGGGGAGGGGGAACACCCCTCAAAGATGGGGGTGCGAGGGTCACCACGACAGGCTCCTACAGCGACTATGCTCTTCTCCGCTGCTAGGAGGGCCTTCTCGAGGAGGTCAACGGTGAGGGTGGTGGGGCAAACTAAGAGGAAATGGTCCCTGACTACGCGAAGGGAGTCAGGGAGGTGGGTGACTATGTAGTAGAGAGTGATGTACATGGGGGGGGGGGTCTTGGCGCAGATTTCAGCAGGAAGCGCAGCGCGGTAGCGAGTGTCACTAGTGCGGAGGTGCGTAATGAGGTCAGCGACTGTGGGAAAGGCAGCAAGGTCAGGGAAGAGGTACGGTAGCATGAGGCGGCTCAGTGCAGCAGTGGCAGGGGAGGAGTAGCGTGCAACTACAGCGTCGTACAAGGTCTGAGCACTCTTGTACTGGCTAAAGTGCGCACGCTCAGAGGTAGGCAGGTGGCGACGCACAGCAAGACGTGCTGCAGCATCGGGTGTGGCCCACTGTGAGCAAACAGTGGCATTAGCATCAGCAGCAGGGGCAGGAGAGGCACCAGAGGTGAGGTCAAAGAGGGAGAGACCGTCTGCCCTATCGCACTGTAGAAAAAGCTGCAGGTCATCTACCCAGACATCAAAGTCAATGGCCCGACCCTCAGCATCAAAAGCGAGGACACTAGGGGTAGCCATGACAGTAGTAGACTAGTAGCGCGAACAGTGGGGTAAGGGCAGTGCAGTGATAGAGGCGCTGCTCTTACCGGACAGGGCGGCTCGGGCGGCTCGGCGGCTCGGCAGCTCGGCAGGAATTGCAGCTCGGCGGCTCGGCAGGAACTGCAGCTCGGCGGCTCGGCTACTCTGCGGCTCGGGTGGCTCGGGCGGCTCGGGCGGCTCAGGCGACTCGGGCGGCTCGGGCGGCTCGGCGGGACGGCGGCTCGGGCGGCTCGGGCGGCTCACGCGGCTCGGGCGGCTCGGGCGGCTCACGCGGCTCAGGCGGGACAGCGGCTCGGGCGGCTCAAGTGGCGCGGCGGCTCGGTTGGCGCTGGCCGCTCGGCAGTAGCTCGGCGGAGCCGCGTGAAGGCGGGGTCGGGGCCGGGAAGGGCGTGCGACGGGGCCAGCAGGGGCTGGGCCGGGGCCGGGAAGGGGCGGCGCCGGGGCCCTAGGGTAGGCGACGGGGCCAGTAGAGACTGGGCCGGGTCGGGAAGGGCGGCGTTGGGGCCAAGAAAGGGCGGCGCCTGAGCCGGGAAGGGCAGCGACGGGGGCGACGGGGCCGCAGGTAGGCGGCGGGGCCGCAGGTAGGCGACGGGGCCGCAGGTAGGCGGCGAGGCCGCAGGTAGGCGGCGGGGCCGCAGGTAGGCGACGGGGCCGCAGGGTCGGGGCCCAGTCAGGAAGGGTGGCGTGAGGGCCGCGGGGTAGGCGACGGGGTCGAAAGGGCGGCGAATCGGGGCCGGGAAGGGCGGCTCGAGGGCCGCGGGGTAGGCAACGGGGCCGCTAGGGCGGCGGATCGGGGCCGTCAAGGGCGGCGCAACACAGTGAGAAAGGGGGAGCGCGACTTGGGCAAGGGCTGAGCGCGCTCCGGGCAGGAAAAAAAAATCGAATCGGTGGGCCCTAGGAACAGTTCCCACGAGGGAACCTGCTCGATACCATGAGAAAACTGAAACGAGAATGAATGCACTATGAAAGAGTTGGGTACAAGTACTAACCCTAATTGGGTTGTACCCTATATGGGCTACCCCACTACAGCCTAAACAAAAGCATAAGCTATAATGTTCCGACAACAACTTGGTTTGAAGGGGAGCTGCAGCGGGATCTCACGCTCACCGTCTCGTCTACCGTCATGTAGTATCTGGGACTCAACATACAAGAAGAAGAGAATGCCATCTATCTCAGCGCCGCAAAACACGCCGACACCATCGTCAAGCGCTTCGGACTAACTCCAGCCGCCATCACCACGCCCTATCGCTACACTGACGGAAATCGCAAGGAAATCTCCGCTCTGCTCAAACCCGCCGGCATACGCGACTATCAATGAAAGCTGGGATGTTTACTTTTCGTAGCCGTCACCTGCCAACCTGATCTATCGTACTCAGCGAGCCAACTCGCCACCTACCTCAAGAAGCCTGAAGCAGATCACATGGCCGAGCTTGACCGCGCTCTTCACTATCTCGTCAGTACTCCGACGATTGGCCGGACCTACTACAAAAACGAAACCTCGATACCTAAGCTAATCGGCTATGTAGACGCTGATCACGCCGACGACGCCGACAACAGGCGCTCGCGCACCGGCTACACCTACCGACTTGAACCTATCGGGCATATCTCGTGGTAGCTGAGTAAACAGGAACTAATCGCCCTCTCCTCAGTTGAAGCAAAATATATTGCACTCTGCTCAGCCACCAAGGAAGGAATGTACCTTCGCGAACTGTTGGAAGAAGCGAAGTTGGCCTAGTTACCCAGCTTCTCTCTGTTCTACGACAACCAATCTGCAATTCGCATAGCGAACAAGAACGGGTTCGCGAACCGGATGAAGCACATCGCCCTGCGATACTTTTTCGTGAAAGACGAGATCGAGAAGGGAAGACTCGAGCTATCCTACTGCCCCACGTCCGAGATGGCAGCCGATTACTTGACCAAGAAGCTAGGAAAGCAGAAGTTCGAGTACTACATGCTGCTGACTTGACAAAGCCACGTCACCAGCACTGACACTCCAAAAGCGAAGGGGAGTGTTGGAAACAAGTAACTTAGCGCTTCTGATGTGTTGGAACATCGAACTGTAAATGAAGCAAATAACAACGAAGCAACGGCGAGTCAACCAAGGAGGTTGACAAAACGTAACTGCTGGAGGTTACGCGAAGGTCAAAGGTCAGCGACCCTTGACTCGACAAAAACAGCGCGACAGCAATGACGAAGTACTGACTCGACATTGAGCAATTGCCCGAGACGTCACAGTATCGAACCGCAACAGCAACAGTAAAAACGGTTATTGCATCTTTTCATATTCCTTGTAATCTTAAAAAAAGTTAGTATTCCTTAGCTATAATCAATCTATCTTGCCCGCACATACTAGCGCAAGGTGGTTCAACACTTTGTCATTGAAACGCTTCCGCAATACAACATTCCTATCAACAGCTTTAGCCTTGAAAGATCCTAAGGGCTTTTCTCAGCCCAACATTTTTATGTATGTGTATGTGTGTGCATGTATGTGTGTGTGTTTGTGTATGTGTAAGTGTAAATGTGAATGTATGTGTATGTGTATATGTATGTGTATGTGTATGTATGTGTATATGTATGTGCGTACGTGCGTGCGTGTATGTATGTGTATATGTGTACGTGCGGGCGTGCGTGTGTATGTATGTGTGTGTGTATGTGTGTGTGTGTGTGTGTGTGTGTGTGTGTGTGTGTGTGTGTGTGTGTGTGTGTATGTGTGTGTGTGTGTGTGTGTGTGTGTGTGTGTGTGTGTGTGTGTGTGTGTGTGTGTGTGTGTGTGTGTGTGTGTGTGTGTGTGTGTGTGTGTGTGTGTGTGTGTGTGTGTGTGTGTGTGTGTGTGTGTGTGTGTGTGTGTGTGTGTGTGTGTGTGTGTGTGTGTGTGTGTGTGTGTGTGTGTGTGTGTGTGTGTGTGTGTGTGTGTGTGTGTGTGTGTGTGTGTGTGTGTGTGTGTGTGTGTGTGTGTGTGTGTGTGTGTGTGTGTGTGTGTGTGTGTGTGTGTGTGTGTGTGTGTGTGTGTGTGTGTGTGTGTGTGTGTGTGTGTGTGTGTGTGTGTGTGTGTGCGTGTGTGGGTGTGCGTATTGTTAACGGGAATGGAGTGTTGGCCCCGCCCTCGCTTGGGCAACGGCGATGACTTGGTCGGGTGTACAGGAGTAGCAGCTGACCATTCCCAGTGGGAGAGCTGCTCGACAGGCTTCGTTGAGCAGCAAGGGACCGCCATGGTGTTGGTGTCGACCAGGGAGCTCGACAGCTATAACTGACTGGTCTGGGCGACGGGTGGGCCGTCGACCAGGAGGGGCAATTCGACCGAGAGGTCTCCGTCGACCTGCAGCTCGACTAGGGGGGGTCTCCGTCGACCTGCAGCTCGACCGGGAGCAGTCCGTCGACCTGCAGTTCGACCGGGAGGTCGACAGAGCAGTTCGTCGACCTGACAAGTGAGCAGCGGTCGACGAGGGGAGCTTGACGACAACCGCTGACAGTTCTGGTCGATGGAAGGGGTCCGTCGACCAGGGGGTAGCTTGACAGGAGCTGTGGTCGACCAGGGGCACCTGTTGGTGAACCAGAGGGACTTGGTGGTCGACCAGAGGCAATGGTGGTCGACCGGAAGCACCTGGTGGTCGACTAGGTCAACCGGGTAACCTACTCGACGAGTTCGGCGGAGGCACGCGAACGTCGTCGAGGTCGCGATGGTGAAGACAACTGCGGGCTGGTATCCCGAAGTCTATGTGGCTCGTCAGGCGCAGACAAAAGCCGACGGATGCCCAACGAGGCAAGTCGGGCCAATCGTCTGCGCGCACCTGCGAGCGTGCGCACTGCTGTGTTCTACGGGGCAACGCTGGACAGCCACTCTGCTGCAGCATTGGCATGCCGTCGACCTGCTCTGTTGGCACGTCGCCTTTCTGCAGTGCTGGCACGACTCCTCTACGCAACGCTGGCAGGCGGTCGACCGAGCTGTGCTGGCGGTCGATCAGGCTAGCTGCAGGGTTGCTAGGTGCCTCATGTAGTCATTCTGTCATTGCTTGTTCAATCATTCTGTAATTCCAACTTTCCTAGAGGAAACTCTTGTCGATTTCTCTTGTGAATGTGCAAGCACTAAGGAACTAAGCAAAGCTACGATCACTCCTAGCAGCTCGTGCCAACCCCCGTCGTCTAGCTCACTACCGTTGTAGAGTGTCTCTCTGCATGGTATGGTGAGCGTGGACGGCCCCGCAAATACCTTCAGATAAGAGCCGACTTTTGAACCTACTAAGTCGTTCGTAGGCCGGCAGCAGCATTAGTCGCCATGGTCGACCCCGTAGTTGATGCGAGCATAGAGGACACCTTGGAGGCACGTTTGGCTGACGCGAGGAGACGCCACGCGGATGGCGAGTACAGGACAATTCCCTTGGTGATCGCCGAATTGGGCATCCGGTCGTAGTGGGCGACGGAACACCCTTCCCGTCCTGCTTCTCCTCGACCGGTGCGCAACGAACGTGGCGTTGAGAACGAGGTCGACGGTGGTGCACGAGTTAGTGGCAGCAAAGGCACGAGGCAGAGAGGGGTGATCAAAGTCGACGGTGGTGTCGACGGAATCCAGGCGCGACTGCAGCGGTTGACGGCGGCTGTAGGCAGCTCGTGTGCCGACGTCGATGTTCGACGTCGCTCTCCTCTACAAAGCGGTGGAGGGCTCTCGGCGACGACGCATGTGACGGCGAGCGGAATTGCACCGGCGTATGGCTACTTCAAGTTCTCACCGGACCGGATCACCGTCGCACCGCTGCAAGGTCGACGGGACTGTTGAGAGATCAAGGTGAACGAACGAGTAGATTAAGCTAGGGCCTAGGCTTAGTAGCCTAGGCCCAACTAGAGTGTCGAGCAGGTTTGTCCTAGGCGAGGTATCGAGTGAGTTGGAAGAGAGAAAATTGGGAGAATGAATTTCACTATAGGTTTCAAGAAACATATAGCATAGGAAACAAAGTTGGTGCACCACCTACAAAGCACAATAACTACACTACAACTACAAGCAGTTATAAAAGATGGCAAATATATTTCGACACGCCCCCATAATGCTTGTAGGTAGAAATGTAGTTACGCATGCAAAAGAATAACAAGCAACAGCAGGTACTGCAGGCGGGCTAACATTGAATAGTTACCCCCTCCATCTCCTCACCCTCCTCCTTCCCCTCCCCCACACTGCTGCAGGAGCAGCAGAGAAGGGGGGAAGAGAGGAGAGGTGGAGGGACGGCTGCATGTTGCCTCACACCCGCCACCCCGGTACCACTCCCCCTGCTCCCCCACATCCTCACACCCTCCCCCCCCAGCGGCAGCTGCAGCGGTGGGACTGAAAGAAGGAGGAGGGGAAGGGAGAGAGTTGACCCAACACTCCAACACCCGCCACCCCCATACCCTCCTCCCCACGGCTGTAGGGAGACAAAGGAGGAGGGGGGTGGGCGGGAAGAAAGCCGCAGAGCGGCTAAACGGTGTCGGCGCAGATGGATCAGGGGCGGCTTCAGGGAGAGCAGGGGCGGAAAGGCCCATCGCGTGCCAGTGCCACGGGGTGCACGACGGGTAAGATAAGAGAAAGGGCCCGATCGTGTGCCTCGGGGCGCACGACGAGCAGGGCACCATCGTGTGCCACGGGGCGCGCGACGGGTAGAAAAGGCGTCACACGCCAACCGGGGGCGGGACAAGGAAAAATTCGTCACGCGCCCTAGGCGCGCGACCGGAAAATCGTAGCAGCGGAAACGTGAGGCCAGAACGAACGTCGCTCTGATAACATGTTGAGAGATCAAGGTGAACGAACGAGTAGATTAAGCTAGGGCCTAGGCTTAGTAGTCTAGGCCCAACTAGAGTGTCGAGCAGGTTTGTCCTAGGCGAGGTATCGAGTGAGTTGGAAGAGAGAAAATTGGGAGAATGAATTTCACTATAGGTTTCAAGAAACATATAGCATAGGAAACAAAGTTGGTGCACCACCTACAAATCACAATAACTACACTACAACTACAAGCGGTTATAAAAGATGGCAAATATATTTCGACAGGGACCTCATCACCTGAAGGGAGTCGATCGAACATTAGCTGGAGGTCGCCAGGCTGAAGGGCTTCGCCGACGGCACCGTGCCCATTCCGCCCGAGAAGGATGTCGAGCTGCGCGGGGAGTTTCGTTCTACTCACCTGCTCACCTTTATGGTCATCTCGAGGTGCTGCTCGCCGGTGGTGCAACTGATGCTCAGGAGCTGTCGAGAGCGAAAGGGTGGTGGTCAGCAGGCATGGTCGCCTGGCTGCAACACATGGTGAGGCGCGGGAAGTTCGTGCTGAAGTACATCCCGACCACCAAGCAGCCAGCGGACTTCCTGACGAAGGCGCTGCATTTTCCGGCTTTCAACCGGTGCTCTGTCGCCATCGGCCAAGTTCGTCTGGCTACCGTCGGCGGCGGCGACGACGAGGTGCAGTAGTATGTGCCGTGCCCTTCTGCACGGCTGGTGCGGTGACGGCGTGCTGTGTGTGGGGTGCACGCCGTGGACGAGTTTTCTCCATGGAGTAGTGTCGTGTGGGCTGGAGGCCCAAGTGTGACCGCGGCAGGGGAGCGTTAACGGGAATGGAGTGTTGGCCCCGCCCTCGCTTGGGCAACGCCGACGACTTGGTCGGGTGTACGGGAGTAGCAACCGACCATTCATAGTGGGAGAGCTGCTCAACAGGCTTCGTCGAGCAGCAGGGGACCGCTGTGGTGCTGCTGTCGACCAGGGAGCTCGACAACTGTAACTGACTGGTCTGGGCAACGGGTGGGCCGTCAACCAGGAGGGGCAATTCGACCGGGAGGCCTCCGTCGACCTGCAGCTCGGCCAGGGGGGGTCTCCGTCGACCTGCAGCTCGTCCGGGAGCAGTCCGTCGACCTGCAGTTCGTCCTGGAGGTCGACGGAGCAGTTCGTCGACCTGACAAGTGAGCAGCGGTCGACGAGGGGAGCTCGACGACAAACGCTGACAGTTCTGGTCGACGGAAGGGGTCCGTCGACTAGGGGGTAGCTTGACGGGAGTTGTGGTCGACCAGGGGCACCTGTTGGTCGACTAGAGGGACTTTGTGGTCGACCAGAGGCAGTGGTGGTCGACCGGAAGCACCTGGTGGTCGACAAGGTTGACTGGGTAATCCGCTCGACGAGTTCGACGGAGGCACGCGAACGTCGTCGAGGTCGCGATGGCGAAGACGATTGCGGGCTGGTATCTCGACGTTTATGTGACTCGTTAGGCGCAGACAACAGCTGACGGATGCCCAACGAGGCAAGTCGGGCCAAACATCTGCGCGCACCTGCGAGCGTGCGCACTGCTGTGTTCTACGGGGCAACGCTGGACAGCCGCTCTGCTGTAGCGTTGGCACGCCGTCGACCTGCTCTGCTGGCAGGTCACCCTTCTGCAGTGCTGGCGCGACTCCTCTACGCAACGCTGGCAGACAATCGACCGAGCTGTTCTGGCGGTCGATTAGGCTAGCTGCAGGGTTGCTAGGTGCCTCATGTAGTCATTCTGTCATTGCTTGTTCAATCATTTTATAATTCCAACTTTCCTAGTGTAAACTCTTGCCGATTTCTCCTGTGAATGTGCAAGCACCAAGGAACTAAGCAAAACCACGATCACTCCTAGTAGTTCGTGCCGGCCTCCGTCGTCTAGCTCACTACCGTTGTAGAGTGTCTCTCCGCACGTGTATGTGTGTGTGTGTGTGTGTGTGTGTGTGTGTGTGTGTGTGTGTGTGTGTGTGTGTGTGTATGTGTGTATGCTGTGTTTTTGTTTTTGTTTTAGATTTTGATCATCCCACTTAGAACTGTAGAAACTGCAAATGAGATCCACGTATACACTACATTCGCCTCTTTATCCACAGGAATGGTGTGGGGTTTGATTTCTGACCAGGCGATTGCATTTCCAGATGCTTCCGCCCCTTCCACATAGTCTCGTCGTTTTTCGGGATCGTCTGGGAATTGCGTCAACTTCAATCACAGCAAAGCAATCTACTGGCTGTGAATGCCGTTTCAGATCGGAATCAAGCCATCCTGACTGTCGATTCGTTTAGCTGTGTTTGGAACGAGGGTTTCTTGTTGCCTCACCTTGAGATTATCGCTTGATGAAGGTATCGCAAGCAGGAAGAATGTACCAGCAGATTTGCCACAAACGTTCTGTTGTACAGCAAGCAACAATAGCCAGCATTCCTGCTCAGAGGGACACACAGACATTCAGGCGAACATTGAAAGCCGAGCTTAGTGTTTCAGTTCCACGTAGGCCACCGCTGGAGATTTTGTTTGAATAATCCTCAAGTCGCCGACCAGCATTTTCGACACCACTTTTTTGCAGTGTGATTGGAAAAATTGCGGCACCCGCGGCTGTTGAATATTTTTGGAACTCGCAGTTGGCGCCTTAGTAACGTAAATGGCGGCGTTGGGCCGTCTGAAGAGCCGCTTGCTTACGGTTCTTCAGTAAGCGAGTTGTGAGTCCACTAAACAAGAGGGTAACGAAAGAGCGTGCTTGGGTACGATTATTCAGGAAGCGAGGCACGCTTTTGGAGTTCGGCAAGCGTGAATGTTGGCGATTGTAGACTTTGTATGTTCGCCACATCGCGTTAACACTTGAATCCCATTTCCCCGGTTCATAGAAGCTAAAATTTGTACACTTTGTATGGTAGTAGTGACCACCGTCAAACGACCAGATTTGCTTCCCTTCGGAGTGCAGTTACCGTCGTGGCGGCCTTGCAGTAGCGCCGACCGTGCGATAGTGCCGACTGTGCGATACCGCCAATCGTCGGGCCTTCGCAAAGAAACGAGAACAGGCTGTTTCAGGAAAGAAGAAGAAGAAAAAAGTACTACATTACTCTCGAGATGCGCGAGGCGACGACGATTTCAGACTCCAGCGGTGATGGCGAGGCGGGAGGAGAGGGAATGCAGGCAGCAGGCAGGCAGGAAGAAGCCCGTTCTCCACAGGAGCAGACTGATCCGTCTCAAGCCAGTCCCTCTCGTTCACCTGCTCAGCAGCAGCAGCAGCAGCAGCAGCAGCAGCAGCAGCAGCAGCAGCAGCAGCAGCAGCAGCAGCAGCAGCAGCAGCAGCAGCAGCAGCAGCAGCAGCAGCAGCAGCAGCCAGGTTCCACATCAGCAGCAGCGGCAACCAGCTCGGAAGATCCTCCTGAGCCGCAATCCGGACCTGCAGGTGGCCCAGCGTCCGAACCAACAATCGGCTCAGCGACTGAACCTGCAGCTGGCTCGGCATCCAAGCCTCGGGGAGCAAAGAAGCCACACCACCGGAATGTGATAGATCAGAAACTGCAACAGGAAATAGTCGCTCTGAAGCAGGCTCACCCCGTGCTCACCAGCGCGCACATCGCGCGCGCGGTTACTAAGCTGTACGGCGTTCCAGTGAAAGAGTCGCAGGTGGAGATGATTATACTGAGGTCCACTGTAGACCGGAGCGTGCAGAGCGACTGGACGAGGTGGCGGCGTACGCGTTATAAGAACCCGCCGCTGGAGAAGGCGCTGGTAAAATGGGTGCGCGAGAGGAAGCGCGAGGAGGAACGCGATCCGATGAGAGTAATTAAAGGGGTTAAAAAGCAGCTTACGGTCAAGGAGATGCGGGATTATGCGATGAAGTTAGGACCGTCGCATGGCGTGCCTGATGTGTTTAAGTACAGCGATGATTGGATTAAGAAGGTTCTAGAAGAAAACGGGTTGAATAAGAAAGGAGAGGAGATTAGTAGGGCAGGAGGTGAAGGTTCGGGGAATAATGACGGTGGGGGCAGTGGAGCAGGTTTCGGGGAAGGTGGTGCTAACGGGTTGGACGGAGGCGGGAGCCCAGGCTCGGAGAAACCAGGCTCGGAGAAGCCAGGCTCGGAGAAGCCTAAGCCGAAGCGTCCTTTGGTTCGGAACGAGATCCCGTTTGAGCTCCAGCTTCGGTACGAGATTGCTGTGGTTAAGCGCGCTCGGCCGCACTTAGAGAACAGAGTGATTGCTGCTGCTATCAGGGCTAAGTACGGAGTGGAAATGACCCCGAGGGCAATAAGGAAGATCGGGGAGGAGAGTGATAAGTGGTTTAGGCTGGCTGCAGGAGTGGTCTCAGATCCTGACCAATCACGAATGGAGGAGGCTTTAGCGGAGTGGGTGATTAAAGAGGAGGAGACGGAGAAGAGGGAGGTGACTATAGAGGAGATTATAGCGAAGGCAAAGGAGATTGGGCCGGGGTATAAGGTGCGGCCGAATTTCAAGTATGGCAGGTCATGGGCTACGAGGTTTATGAAGAGGTTCGGGTTGCTGCTGCTGTCGGAGACTAGTACCAAGGATGCTGATAACGAGGATGAGGGAGGGGCGAGAGGAGCGGGAGGAGAGGGAGGCGATGATGGTTATGATGACTGGTTTGAGAGAGAATTCGGGGGGCGAGGGGGAGGAGGAGGAGGTGGAGGGGGAGGGGGAGGAGGAGGAGGTGGAGGAGGAGGCCAGGCAGGGAGGTATCAGGCCAGCGAGGGAGGAAGGCAAGGAGTTGATAGGGAGTCTGGGGGAGAGGAGGAAGGGCAGGGGGATGAGGACAGGGAAGGAGAGGAGTGGGGAGGCGAGGAGGAGGCGGGGGAGGAAGAGGGGGATGGCGGCGCAGGGGAGGAGAGGGATGGTGGATTAGTTAGTTTCGTAAATCTGCAGATGCGAACAGCAAATCGTGCTGCCAGGCAGGTGTTATGTGAGTCGGCAGGGGCAGGAGGCGCGGGTACAGTGGCGGGACGGGGTATGGGAAGAGATGGGGGGGGAGGAGATGGAGGGGGCAAAGGAGAAGGGGGCGGAGGCGGGGAGGGGGAGGGAAAAGACGGGGAAGGGGAAAGGGAGAGGGAAAGCGAAGGGGAAGGGGAAGGGGAAGCGGGAGGTGGTGTGAGTAGCCCTGAGCCTGATCAAGGGGATGCAGGAGAAGGGGCTTCTCCAAGGGTAAATAGCCCTTGGTCTGCGGATATTTTGAATGAGCTGTTTGAAGAAGCAGGGGTAGATGGAATCGGCACAGATGGTGATGGTGCAAGGGGAAGAGACGAAGGGGTGACGGGGAAGAAGGGAGGAGGTGAGGGAACAGAGAGTGGGAGGGCGGAGGAGGGAGCAGGAGGAGAGGAGAGAGCAGGAGGAGAGGGGCCAGAGGTTGTGAGGCAAGCTTCTGACTTAGCTGCTACTAATGCCGATGGTGCTGCTGTTGCTGCTTCTGCTACTGCTGTTGACACTGATGCTGATGTTGATGCTGGTGTTGGTGGTGTTGCTGCCGCTGCTGCTCATGGTGATGGCAGTCCTGGTGATGCTGCAGGTGCAGAAGGAATGAAAAAGAGAGGAACCAAGCGGGTTAGGTGGGTGGACGAGCAGCAGGGGGCGGGAGACGAGGAGAGGGGAACCGGGGAGAGGGATGTGGGAGAAAGGGAAAGTCGGGAGGGTGGTTTTGGGGGGGTTGAAGGGACTGAGGGGGCTGATGCGGATGGTGATAATGGTGGTGATGGCGATGGCAGTAGTGATTGGGTTGGTGATGGTGGTGCGGGTGGTGGTGCTGATGGTGATGGTGCTGCTGCTGCTGCTGGTGCTGCTGCTGGTGCTGCTGCTGGTGGTGGTGATGGGGATGGTGGTGGTGATGGTGATGGTGCTGCTGCTGCTGCTGCTGGTGCTGCTGCTGGTGCTGCTGCTGGTGGTGGTGATGGGGATGGTGATGGGGATGGTGGTGGTGAGGGTGGTGGTGTGGAGAAACAAAGGCATGCGGCACACATTGCGGAACACAGTGCGCCACACAGTGCAGCCACAGAAGCTGGTGCTGTCATCATCCTCACAGCGGAGGGGGAAGCACTGGATGAGGACAACAGTGAAGGAGAAGAAGCAGAACGAGGCCCAGTGGCGCTCGTCGTACTGGATGGGGATGATGCATCCGAGGAGGGAGGTCTAGGCCACTCTGATGGTGCACGCGCAGCAGGGTCCGATACAGACAAGGGTGGTTGTAATGCTCACAGCACGCCCACTGGCGTCTCTTCCCCCATACCCATTGTTCTCGCCCTTGCTGCCGCCAACGATCCCGATACCCCCACCACAACCCTTCCCACCTCTTCCCAAGCTGCCCTGGCTTCTCAAGCCTCGAACCCCCCCAATTCCTCCCAAGCCGCATGGGCTGCCGAAACCACAGAAAAGGCTCCTATCCCCCCCTATTCCGATGATTCGAAGCGTTGCACGGTCAGGGAGCTGACGGTGGGTCAGAAGCGCGCCTTCTGCCTCGTGCGCCACGCCCTGCCGTACCTGCGCCGAACCAACATCCACGAGCTCGCCAAGGCTGCGCTGCCGGCTTGGGGAGCGCGCGTGTCGTTTGATACTGTAAAGTATGTGGTGAGGGACAGCTGGTGGTGGCTGAAGATTCCACGGGGGAAGGAGGAAGAAATGAAGAATAAACCAAGGAAAAAGAGGAGGAGTAGGAAAGAGAAGGGCACAGGGCAGTGCGCGAAGCTGGAAGAGGCGTTATGGAAGTGGATAGAGGGGATAGGAGCAGCGGAGTTGGTGACGAAAGGAAGGGTAAAGGATAGGATGTTGGTGATGGAAGTGGGGGTGCGGGGTAGGGGTGGGACAGGCGGGAAGAGCGGAGATGGGAGAAGGAGGCGGCATTGCTCGTCTGAGTTCCCTCAAAACCCTCAATTGTCCGCCCCTGTTTTTCTGACGCTGGAGATGATCAGAGGCATGGCGAAGGAGCTAGGACCGACTTTAGACGCTCCTCCTGGATTCAAGTACGCGGAGAACTGGGTGCGGAGGGTTATAGCGCGGTTCCAGGCAAAGGCGAGGAGTGAGGGGGAGGGGCGAGCGGAAGGGGTGGATGGGGATAGGGTGGAGGGTGGGGAGGATGAGGAGGGAGTGGATGGGGATTGGTCAGACGAGGAGTCGTATGGTGATGGGGAGAGTGATGAGGAGAGTGATGAGGGGGAGGAAGAGGATGAGAGTAACGAGGGTTCAAGTGAGGATGATGATGTGGTGGAGGTGGGAGGAGGAGGTGAAGGGGGGAAGAAGAGAGGGCGGAGCGGGGAGACAGCAGCGCAGAACTCGGAGCATGCAAGGGGTGGGAAACGGGGGAAAATCGCCACACCTTCGGGAGACATACAAGTTGCTGCTGCTGCTGCTGCTGCTGCTGCTGCTGCTACTGCCGCCGCTCCTTGTGCCGGGGCTGATCAGGACCCGCACCGGTATGCGCTGCACAAGTGGGCGGACGATCCGGACCTTTCCAGCCTCATGCGGTGCGTGCTCGGGCCAGACTGGCTCACACAGTGCACCCGAAGAGGCGGCATTGCGTATGAGAACAACGGCAGCTTGACTGCTGATGCTGCTGTTGCCGACTGCCGCCCTCCCCGCCATCGCCGTGCGGTTGCTACAGGCGCTGCTACTGCTGCTGCTGGGTTCAGCAGTTCTCTGGCTGGTGCGGCCGGTGGCCGTACCGTTATGTACCGTTATGAACCGCATGGGGATTCATGGACAGCTGTCGCTGCTGGTGCTCGAGTCACAAGGAGCCAGGCTTTCGCAAGAACAGCAAGAGGAGTAGGAGGAGGAGGAGGAGGAGGAGGAGGAGGAGGAGGAGGAGGAGGAGGAGGAGGAGGAGGAGGAGGAGGAGGAGGAGGAGGAGGAGGAGGAGGAGGAGGAGGAGGAGGAGGAGGAGGAGGAGGAGGAGGAGGAGGAGGAGGAGGAGGAGGGGTATAGCAGGCACGGCAGGTGTCAAAGGTATAGCAGGCAAAGCAGGTGTGACTGGCACACCAGGGGGCACAGCAGGGGGCACTGCAGGGGGCACAGCAGGGGACTGGTACACAGCAGGATCACCACTCAATTTCCAGCAGCTCAACCTGCCCGGCCCACACCAGTTGCGTGCAACCCCACAGCACACCGGCCATTCACCCCACTCCCACACGTATGGCTTCGCTTCTCAAACACAACCTGCTGCTGCCACGTCACCTGCTGCTGCTGCTGCTGCACCTGGTGTTGGGCCGGCTGCAGGAGGGGCGGCTGCTGCAGCTGCGGCACTGCTTGCAGCAGCACTGGGCGCTGGTGGTGGTGCTGGTGTTGGTGGTATAGCCGGTGCTCTGGGTGGTGGTTTTGGTGGGTTCGGTAACGCTGCTGGTGGTGCTGGTGCAAGCGGTGGTGCATTGGCCAGTGCAGGCAATCTGGGGGCCCTGGTGAACGCGAGTGCAGGGGCTATTCAAGGATCAGGAGATGGTAACCAGCAGCAGCAGATGCTGCTGCTGCTCACTCTCTTGGCCGCACAGGCCGCAGGAGGAGGTGCCGGAGGGGGCGTGGAGGGGGGTGTGGAAGGGGGTGTGGGAGGGGGTTTGGGAGGGAGTGTGGGTTTAGGTTTTGGAGGAGCAGGAGGGGTAGGAGCTGGAGCTGGAGCAGGAGCAGGAGGAGATTTGGGATGGGGAGCTGGGGGAGTGGTTAGTGAACGAGAGGGGAGGAGGGAGAGGAAGGCGCGGGAGAAGGAGCGGAAGAGAGAGAAGAAGAGAAGGAGAGCAGAGGAGAAGGCTCGGAGACGAGCGGAGAGACGGGGTGGGAGTGACTGGAGGGATTCGATAAGTGAAAGACATGGGGAAAAGGGGGAAAGGCACAGGACAAAGGGAGACAAGTATGGGTCGGAGGCAGGCGGGCGGCGTGCGTCGTTTGAGAGTGCGTGGCATGTGCTGGTGGGTGCGGGATCAGGTGGTGAGAGTGGGGATGGAGAGGGGAAGAGGAGGGGTGAAGGACGGAGTGTGAGGGAAGTGGGCGGCAGAAAGCGGGCGGCAGAAGTGATTGAGCTCTCAGATGATGACAAAGAGGAGGAGAAGGGATCAGATGATGATGTGGTGGAGGTGAGGGGGGGTGGATGGGGGAAAGGTGCGAAGGGTGGTGGTAGAAGCAGCGGCAAGAAGCGACGGCGGGAGAAGGAGAAGGAGAAGGAGAAGAAAAAGGAGAAAAGGAGGTACCGTCGTGGAAAGGGCCGGCGATCACGGAAGGACAGCTCGAGTGATGATGACGACGAGGATAATGAGTCTGATGATAACGAGGATGTGGATGGGGATGAGGATGGGGATTATCGGGATGAGGAGGACGAGGAGGGGGAGCAGGATAACTCCCAGGGGCGGGGTGGGATCCTGCATGTACGGAGGAACCTCAGGAGAAGCAGCACAGGTGCAGCAGGATCAACTGGAGCTGGTGGCATTTCAAGCATTCCGAGCCATCCGAGCAATCGGAGCAACCCACTGAATCCGAGCCAGTCACTGGCTCTGGTGGCGCAGGCTGCATCTGGGGCGGGCTTACCTCTTCCCGCCTCAGTCACGCAGGAACGGGCTGCTGCTGCTCTTGCTGCCGCCATTGCAGCTGCTGCTTCCGTTGCCCGTGGTGACTCCCCCAATGTTGCTGCTTACAACGCTACTGCTGCTGCTGGTGCCCGTGGGAGTGGGGGTGCTGGGTGGGGGGGTGCTACTAGGGGAGGGATCGGTGGTGTGTCTGGTGGCGGGTTGGCTGGTGGTGCTGCTGCGATGGGAGGTGCTGGTTTTGGGCAGTTACTGGGTGCTATAAATGCTGGTGTGATGCGGAATGCTGTTGGGATGGTAAATGCTGGTGGAGTGGGTAGTGCTGGTACTAGTGGACTGTTTAACGCCCACGGACCAGGCAATGCTGCTTTAGGGCAGCCATACTTCTCCCCGTATTATCCTCCCCAGTTCTATTCCGGCTTCAGAAATGCTCCTGCTGCTGCTCCCGCTCCTGCTCCTGGTTTTCCCTCTGCTCCTGCTGCTGCTGCTGCGGCGTCTCCTGCTGCTGCCTTTGCTGCTGCCGCCACTGCTGCTGCTGCTGGGGCTCAGATCGGTGGGGGTGGTAATGCGATTTCGGCTGCTGGTCGGGCTGCTGGTGCTGCCAATTGGGACCGTTTCGTGCAGCAAGTGCAGCAGCAGGGGCAGTGGCAGCAGCAGCAGCAGCAGCAGCAGCAGCAGCAGCAGCAGCAGCAGCAGCAGCAGCAGCAACAGCAACAACAGCAGCAGCAGGAACAGCAGAAGCAGAAGGGACAGAAGCAGCAACGAAAGCAGAAGCAGAAGCAACAGCAGCAGCAGCAGCAGCAGCAGCAGCAGCAGCAGCAGACAGGTGGTTCTGGGTATAGAGCTTCCCTTCTGCAGCAGCTAGAGAAGATGCACAAGCAGCAGCTGCAGCTCATAGGTCAGCTGCAGCACCAGCTGCAGCACCAGCAGTTCAAGGCACCATCTCCCCAGCAGCAGTGGCAGAAACAGCACCTAGAGAACCAGTTGCAGCAGGCACAGCGGTTTGCTTGGCAGCAGCAGAGTGAGATGCAGCTGCTGAAGAAGCAGATCGAGGATCAACAACAGGCGCAGCAGCAGCAGCAGCAGCAGCAGCAGCAGCAGCAGCAGCAGCAGCAGCAGCAGCAGCAGCAGCAGCAGCAGCAGCAGCAGCAGCAACAGGCACAGCAGCAGCAGCAGCAGCAGCAAAGTGCCCCACCTGCTGCTGCAGCCTCTTCTGCTGCCGCTACCTCTACTCCTGCTGCTACCGCCCCTGGTACTGCTGCCACTGCTCTCCCTGGTGCTGCTACCATTGATCTCCCTGCAGCTGCTACTACTGCTGGTGCTGGTGCTGCCACCACTGCTCCTGCTGATGCTGATGCTCCTACCACCACTGCTGACTCTTGTGCTGCCACTGTCGCTCCTGCTGACGCTGACGCACCTGCCACAGCTGCTCCTTTTGAGGCGCCTCAAAATTCCACTACTCCTGCTGACTCTGATGCTGCTACCGTCATTCCTGCTGACGCTGATGCACCTGCCACAACTGCTCCTGCCACAGATGCACCTGCAACAGATGCACCTGCAACAGATGCACCTGCAACAGATGCACCTGCAACAGATGCACCTGCAACAGATGTACCTGCAATAGATGCACCTGCCACTGCTGCTGCTGCAACAGCTGCACCTGCCACAGCTGCACCTGCCACAGCTGCACCTGCCACAGCTGCACCTCCTGAGTCGCCTGAGGCTGAAACCACAGCAGCTACAGCCGCACCACCTGATTCACCAGAGGCTGAGATCACAGGTGCTACAGCCGCATCACCTGATTCACCAGAGGCTGAGATCACAGGTGCTACAGCCGCATCTGTAGCAGCTACAGCCGCACCACCTGATTCAGAGGCTGAGATCACAGGTGCTACAGCCGCACCACCTGATTCACCAGAGGCTGAGATCAGAGGTGCTACAGCCGCATCTGTAGCAGCTACAGCCGCACCACCTGATTCACCAGAGGCTGAGATCACAGGTGCTACAGCCGCATCTGTAGCAGCTACAGCCGCATCACCTGATTCACCAGAGGCTGAGATCACAGGTGCTACAGCCGCACCACCTGATTCACCAGAGGCTGAGATCACAGGTGCTACAGCCACATCTGTAGCAGCTACAGCCGCATCTGTAGCAGCTACAGCCACACCACGTGATTCAGAGGCTGAGATCACAGGTGTTACAGCCACATCTGTAGCAGCTACAGCCGCATCTGTAGCAGCTACAGCCGCACCACCTGATTCACCAGAGGCTGAGATCACAGGTGCTGAAATTGATGCCGTGGACGCCACCATTGGCAAGCTCCTTGAAGGAAAGGATTCTGACACACCTGTAGCTGCTACAGCTTGTGAAAATGTGGATGCGACAACTGAGGCTAATGCTGTAGCTGCTACAGCCGATGAGGTAATGGCTGTAGCCGCTACAGCCGATGAGGTAGTGGCTATAGCCGCTACATCTGGTGAGGATACACAAGAAAAGATGGAACGACAGGTGCCTAGAGCAACAGTCACGGATGATATGGAAGTGGATGGAGGTACGGCTACAGGCGGTAAGGCAGGGGATCTCACAGTAGCTACAGCTGGTGAGACAGGGAATGGCACAGCAGCACCTACAACCAACGAGGCTGAAGATGCCACAGCAGCGACAGCTGATGATGAGGCAGGAGGAGACGCCACTGTTGCGGCAAAGAACATGGCTAGTCCAAAGGAGTGCCCACAGGGGAGGAAAAGGGCTAGAACCAGTCCAGATGCTGACAATGATGATGCATGTGGTGCTACGGGCGATGGTGCTACAGATGGTGGTGATGCAGGTGGTGGGGGTGCTGTTGCTGGTGCTACAGGTGATGGTGCTACAGGGGATGGTGATGCAGGTGGTGGTGGTGCTACAGTTGTTGCTACAGGTGGTGGTGCTACAGACGATGGGGAGTCAAAGCGATTGCGCCGATGCATGTGGGAGGCAATGAGCACGAGGCAAAGGACGCAACGGATGTGGATGCGGATGTGGATGTGGATGTGGGTGTGGATGGAGGAGATGATACTGCAGCAGGTGATGATGGGGAGGCAAGAGGAGATGATGGTACGAATGATGTTGCACCTCAGCATGGTGAGGCAAAGGACTCAGTTGATGTTGATGTGGATGTGGATGTGGATGGAGAAGGAGATGATGCAGCAGCAGGTGATGATGGGGAGCGAAGAGGTCATGGTGGTAAAATTGATGCTGGAGCTACAGCCGATGCGGCTACAGCAGATGGGGCTACAGCAGATGGCGCTACAGATGATGTTGATATGGCTGACGACGCTACAGGTGATGGTGGTAGAGATGATGGGGCTACAGCCGATGGTGCTGAGACTGCTGGGGCTACATCTGACGGCGCTAAAGGCGCTGGTGCTACAGGCGCTGGTGCTACAGACAACGGTGCCACAGAAGATGGGGTGAAAAGTGCCAGTGCTGTGGATGGAGGTGTAGTAGGCGCTACAGGCGATGGGGCTACAGGCAATGGCGCTACAGGCCATGTGGCTACAGGCGATGGGGCTACAGGCAATGGCGCTAGAGGTGATGGCGCTAGAGGTGATGGCGCTAGAGGTGATGGCGCTAGAGGTGATGGCACTGCTGATGGTGCTACAGACGGCGGTGCTACAGACGGCGGTGCTGCAGGCGATGGTGCTGCAGGCAATGGTGCTGCAGGCAATGGTGCTGCAGGCGATGGTGCTGCACGCTGCACAGTTGATGGTGGGGCTTCAGATGGTGGGGCGGCGGTTTAGATACAAGGCACACAGGACACACACTTATCACTGAATGTGTTAAACATTCTATCCGTTCAGCTAACATGGTACCGTACTTGCTTGCAGATACCATACCGTACCATATTTGTTTTGTGGTGTGTGATTGATGCATGTAAGAGACGTCAAATAAATTCAAAGTGAGTGCAGCTATTATAACTGCTATTAAGCTGTAATATTACCGTATGACACAATGCACTGTATCATAACATAACCGCTGTTTGAGGGGACCGCATTCGCTGCAGGGAAAATCTTGTACTGTACAAGTTGTACTGTACAAGGTGACATTTGACATTTGAGTAGACTGACAAGTTATACGTCAGGAACAGTGCAGGCATTTTCTGTAGTTGCACCTGCTGCTACGGTATTACTCCACTTGTCTGCTCATTCACTGTACCGATATTTGCTCCTCTGGCTGTGCTGCAAGCCACAGCGCCTGCTGCTATCGCCCTAACTGCCTCTTGATTCTCCGCTTCAGCTGCTGCTCAAGTGACGCTCGGACACCAGAAGGGCCTTGCTGAATCTGCTGCCTATCACCCTAACTGCCTCTTGATTTGCTGTATCTGCGTCTCCTGCTGCACTGCAAACCGCTGCGCCTGCTCCAACTGCTGCTCCAGGCGCTGCCGCTGCCACTGCTGCTGCTGGGTTGGGTACATGAACTGCTCCTCCTCCCTCTCTAGCTGCCGCAGCTGCCATTGCAACTGTTGCACATGCTGCCTTTGCTGTGCCTGCTCCAGCTGCAATTGCTTCAGCTGCTGCTCCAGTGACACTCGGACAGACCTCTGAGTCGACCCAAAATTCTGCCCCAGTGACACTCGGACACCAGAAGAAAACTCGCTGATTCTGCTGCTCTTGCTGCTGAGGGAATTGCTGCTGCTGCTGCCGCTGCCGCAAGAATTGCTGTTGTTGTTGTCGCTGCTGTGGCTGCAGCAAAAACTGGCCTACCTGGGTGGCTAATTGATCACCCACTGCATTAGAAGCACCAGTACCAGCAGCACCCTTGTTTCTTCCTCCTCCAGCATTTGATGTTCCACCAGCACTTAGCATCCCACCAGCGTTAAGCGCTCCACCAGCACTTAGTGCACTCAGGAACTGGCCTAGACCGGCACCTCCCAACCCAGCAGCACCGGTTGAAACCACTCCAGAAGCAGGAGTACCAACAACACCGGGAGCAGGAGCACTGTTCCCACCACTCGCGACTGCAGTGGCAGCCGCAATGGCAGCAGCGAGAGCAGCAGCAGCCTTTTCAGGTGTGACTGAGGTTGGAAGAGGTAAGCCTGCCCCAGATGCAGCCTGCGCTGCTGCCTGCGCCACCAGAGCCTCGACCACTGCAGAGGATGCTGCTACTCCTGTGCTGCTGCCTTGTCCGGGATACTTCCTCCTCCTTTTTCTATCATCATCCACCTCTCCCTCCTCCTCCTCTTTGTTTGAATCAGTATTGTAACTCTCACTGCTATCACTATCGTCACTAGAACTATCACTATCATCGCTTCCACTTTCACTATCATCACTCTCACTAGCACTGCCGTCATCACTATCACTATCGCCGTCATCACTATCACCATCACCATCCTCATCACTTGAGTTTCTGGTTCTCCCTTTCCTTCCCCTTCGCCTATCGTCTCTCCCTCTCTCCCGCGCTCTCCGCCTCTTCTTCCCTCCTCTCTTCCCATCCCTCTTCCTCCCCTTTCTTCCTTTCCTACTCCCTTGTCTCCTCACTCTTTGTCTCACCTCCACTACATCTTCTGAATCATCCTCACTCCCGCTCTCACTCTCACCCTCATTCCCACTCTCACTCTCACTCTCACTCTCGCCCTTCCTATCCTTCCTCCTCCCTCCTTTCCCTCCTCTCTCTCCTCTCTTCGCCTCCAATACATCCTCTGAATCCTCCTCACTCTCACTCCCGCTCTCATCCTCACCCTCACCCTTGCTACCTTTCCTCTTTCCTCTTCTCTTCCCTCGCCTCCTCCCCTTTCTCCCCCCTCTTCTTAACTCCTCATCATCTGAATCCTCCTCACTCTCACTCGCGCCCTTCTTTCCTTTCTTCTTCCTGCCTCTCACTCTCCTTCTCCTCACCTCCACTTTTTCTCTAGAATTCTCCTCACTCTCACTCTCACTCCTCTTGCTAGAACCACCACTCAAATCCTCTTCCTTCACCAATATCTCATTCACCTCTGCCTTCCCACCCCTCGACCGCCCATTCCCACCGCTCTCCCGCCCATTCTCACCGCTCTCCTGCCCATTCTCACCGCTCTCCTGCCCATTCCCACCGCTCTCCTGCCCATTCCCGCCGTTGTCCTGCCTATTACCACCCCGTTCTCCCCCATTCCTCTTCCCACTCTTTAAACCCCCAGTTGCATCTTTATCCCCTCCCCTGCTATCAATTTCCCCTCCCGCACGGCTACGCTCCTTTCTCCCACCATCCTTGTCCCCTCTCCCACAATCACCCTCCCCTTCCCCACCGCCTCTCTCCCCTTCATCTCCATTTTCCCCGCCATTGTGAGTCATCAAGACAGGGTCACCGCCGCCCCTCTCCCTTCCAATGCCGCCCCTCTCCCCGTCACTGCTGCGCCCCTCTCCCTTCCAATGCCGCCCCTCTCCCCGTCACTGCCGCCGCCCCTCCTCCCCGTCACTGCCGCCCTCTCCCCGTCCTGCCGCCCCCTCTCCCCGTCACTGCCGCCCCTCTCCCTGCTACCGCCGCCCCTATCCTCGTCACCGCCGCCCCGCTCCCCGTCACTGCCGCCCATCTCGCCCCCATCCCCTCCAGCCTGTCCCCCTGTTTCTCTCCCCACACCATCCGTCTCCCTCCTGCATCCCCACCAGCCTGCATGGTGTTTCCAGTCGTCTCAACTCCACCCTCAGCATTTTTTTTCGTCTCCCCAGCAGCGCCCCCACCAACCAGCATGGCCCATGCAGTGTGAAAGGAAGACGTTTCGTTTCTTAGACCGCTTTTCAGCCTGCTTTTGAGGCGTCTCAAAAGCCTGTGTACCAGCTGAATCAATACCCGTCTTTGCCCCGCTCCTTCCCTTCTTTTGAAGTGCTTTTTTCGACTGAGATGTTTCCAGACTTCGACCGCCCTCTGACCTTCTCACCTCTCTCTCACCCTCTCCTC